TGGAACGCGCCTCAAAGAATTCATGTCGATGAGGTCACTAGTGTACCTGAGACACTAACTATTTCCACTTTTTGCACGTGAGTGCATATCGAATCTTAATGGCCCAACCATAAGGGTGAATCATGTCTTTAGAACCTAAGCGTACACACATCATAGAAATATTATGCGATGAAGGACCGAATGGCTGGCTTTAGAACCTTGTGGGCTATCATTAAGGTCCCAAAGAATGGCTCCACGATCCTGAAAACTTATTTTCAAAATCCAGATCGTTTTACCATTAAAACTAGTGTCTGAATGTAGTAAATTAAACGATGTCTTTCTTTTAACAGATGGAAACTCTTCTTGCCTTGGTGATTGCAGTCATATTTGTTTGTTGTCTCCTAACGGAAGTACATGCGCATGCCCAGCTCACTTTACCCTTGAAGAAGATGGGAAGACTTGCAAACATGACGGTAATTAAATGCACCACAAACTCCTTAAAGATACAAGAATCCAAATTTTATTTTTATATCATTTGTATTAAGAGCGTCGTAAAGTTTAAAAAATCAAAATAAACATTTCAATTTCATGCATTTTCATATTTGCAGCATAGAGGGCCTCGGCCAATGAAGTGTTTTATCTGAAATAGCACGACCTAGAATTCTAGACTGACGCCTGAAATCGATGCAGGGGTGTTATGCCACAGTGCCTAACATGTTGCAAGGATTGACCAAGCCACTCCCAATAGGATACGTTTTTAGTCCGTGTAAGGATTTAAATGCAAAGGGAAAAAGTAGTTATGTATTTGAAAAGGGAGATCACATGGTTGACTAAATGGTAAAGCCGGTCCTCCTCAACCCCTTAGCTACTCAAATACAATTTACATTATCAAAAATTAATAAGTAAATTTTTTTGGCGTTAAAATTTGAATTTTTCAGCGCTTTTGTAAATCTCTTAATATCAGGTCCCTCTTGAATTAGATAGTTTGCTAAACTGTTCTAAGGTTTAATAATTTACGGTTCTTGTTTTTAGCACCTCAGAAGATATTACTTTTCGCTGATGGTCGTCTGAGCCAAATATATACATTATCTCTCGACGAATCGAACACAAGCGCCAAATTGGTACCAATGGCACATATCCATCGTATGCGTCGACCTGCGGCACTTGATTTCGACAGTACAGAAGACAGAATATATTGGACGGATACAAGCTTGAATACAATATCTAGGATGTTTATTAATGGATCGTCTTCAGAGACTGTCATTTCCAGAGGAGTTTATCATCCTTATGGGCTGGCGGTTGATCCAGTAGGAAGAAATATTTACTGGACTGATCATTATCTGAATAAAATTGAAGTTAGCAGAATGAATGGATCAATACGAAAAACCTTGATTACCCGAGACCTAGATAATCCACGAGATATAATCTTGGATATCGACAAAGGGTAAGATTATCTTTAGGTTTGCAGTTTGGCGGGGCGAGGAGGGGGGCGGGAACGCTGGTTATAAAGAATGAATTTGGTCAAAATTAAGGAAATTTAAATCCCTAAAACTGCTCAGGAACAGCTTTTTGGAAGTGCTTGTGGATCAAAATTTTGTTTTGTCTGAATTACCAAATCTTAACTTTGGAAAACCTTAAACAGCATTTACCCACAGTAACTTTTCTAGCTAAAGCGCGACTCGTCGATCACTTGCATTGTGAATTGTCTCCACCTTTTTCATACTCCTGCCTAACAAAGCTTAATTTTCTTGCACGTTGGTGCAAAAATTTGTCGTTTTTCATTGATTCATAGTATCACCGTCTTCATCTGTTCTAAGAATGGTTAATGTTGGAATGTGTCATCTCCCAATCAAAGTCTTTTTTTATGTCGAGGGAAATAAGAGTATCTTTTGCATCATTAATAAGATATTAGTTTACTTAAGTTGAGGCTTGTTTTCGACTCCGTCGCGAACTTAGTCTCGTAGGTTTCACAACTTGTAATAATCGATTCCCTCTGTTTTAATTAAATACAGTTTGATGTACTGGTCCGACTGGGGTACCAGCCACAAAATTGAGGTCGCTAGCATGGATGGAAATAATAGAAGCACACTGGTTAAAAGAGGGCTTTACTGGCCTAATGGGTTGACCTTGGATGGTGCTAATAACAAGCTTTATTGGGTAGACGCATGGTTTCATATGTTGGAATACTACGACTTACAGCGTCATACGATTACATCTCTGTTCCGTGACAGATATGTATTATCGAACCCATTTGGTTTGACATTGCTCGAAGATAAAATTTACTGGACCGATTCAAGT